GCCGGCGGGCGATGCGGCGCCGAAACCTACGGAGGCCGAGGAGGATGTTACGGCCGATCGATCGGAGGAGGATCCTTTGGGGCCGCTCAAGGGAGGCAAGAGGTAGGGGGCTCAATGGGTTGGCTGGGCTGCTGTTGCTGTGTATATATCTCCGTGGAGTTTTGGCTAGGAAATCAAATTGAGTACCTATCCGTTGCTCTCTGTCTCCAGGCATAGACTGCCGCCCTTCGCTGAGCTGGGACTTGTGAATAGCACTGTCATTTGCGGCTGTGACATGGTTGGATCACGTTTCAATCTTCAGGTTATCTCTCGTCATCGGGGAATAGATCTAGCTTCGGCCGACGCCAGACCTTCAGTGATGGAAGGAGAAAGGCTCTTACGAGCTGAGAAAGTCGTCTGCCGTTATGCCACAGCGGTACGGTTCATGGAAGATAAATCAACAGCGGAATAATAGACCGTGACTGTCACGGCACCACATGGCACGAACCAGCCTGGTGAGCAAGTCAGTGCCGACCCACTATCTAGGTACCCATTATATAGGAACCAAAGGGCAGAGGCTTCATCTCCAGCTCCCTTCTTCATGGAACAACGAGTTCATTCACCTAGTCCTAGCACTTGGGGTTGGCACCGTGGCAGCGACGGGCTAAATGGAATCTTTACAAGCCAGAAGCATAATATTCACTAGAAGCACAAGATCTCACGTCTTGCTCGAGATAGATGAGCTGAACTAGGTAGGCAGACGATAGTGGCTACAGGTAACTGAACGTCTTGGCCATCTTCCCGGTCCCGTTGGACTTCTGGGTGGTCGTTCTCGTCACGACAGCGGGCTCCGAGAAGCATGGGTCGCTTTCTTCGCTGTTGATCTAGCTACACTGGTGCTTTCGATCGTGTCCCTAAAATTTGATATCGGGGCTGGAGCAGGAGGTGTGAACCTGCTAGCTCAGGCAACCGCCAGATTCACATCCCGCAATCAAAACCAGGTATCTCTAGGAACCCCCCCCAAGGCAGCAGTGGTCCAGGACACCGACTTCGCTATACTCGTGCCGAACCTCAAACGCCGTGATGGGAGAACCATTCTTGCTCCAAACCCTTTAGAGAACGTTCGCGAACCACCTGCGACCCTCGACGAAGCACCCGCTGCGGACTGTTAAGCAGACACTGTGCCACGACCCTTTGGGCGAGCTTTTAGGGCCTTAGATGCCAGTGCTCAAGCCGTTCCATACCGCCCTGCGCACAATAGTCCGCAAAAAAAAAAAAGCCTGGCTTCCGCGCTAAAGGCCTTCCTCTAGCCTCATCCCAAGGTCACTTCCTAACATCACCTTGTTGCCAGCTTTCGACGAAAAACCTTCCTTCTTTTCTTTCCCCCACGCTCCTTCCACCCAGTACTGATGACCCCGCCATCTTGTCACCGCGAAAGTTGAAAGTCACTCGCCGTGAAGCAAGACTGATTTCTATCAGCTTGTTTTCATTTCTTTCTTCTTTTTCTATTTTCTTTTCCGAATTCCTCCACTTCAGGCCCTGATCGAGTTCGCTCCTTGAACTCCCGCAACATCACTTGCTCCTTCCCACATCAGGCTTACCCTTTCCTACATCACACCTATCTTACCACCTCGCCTTATTCGCCAAGATGCTTCCCTCCGCCTTGAAGAGTACGTATCAGCTGTACAAGCAGGATACTGACGTGGTCGCGTCATGGCTCGCACATACCGCCAAGTCGCTTGGTTGCCCCGAAGCGCTGCTTAACGACGGCGGTGGCAGTGTTCACCCCCAGACCCAAACCGCGGCACCCCAACCTCAGACTGGCCGTCTCAAGGGCAAGAATCGTAAGCTGGCCAAGGCAACCGGGCAGTCTGGACCTGGATCTGCACCCGGTCCAAGCAACAACCCAGTCACATCCGGCGAGAACACCAAGCCAAAGTATACACTGCCCATCAAGAGCTTTGTGCCGCTCGCCGAGTTCATCAGCCAAAAGTCTGTGACCACCATTCCGGCTTTTTTCACCAATGCCATCAACCGTGCCGTTGAGATCCGCAGAGGCTTTGGCGGCATGCTTGCCGCCAATGGCCAACCCCTCTCCCCCGAGTCCAACATCTCACACTCATTCTTCGTCGACATCCTGGAACAAGTCCGCAACGCGCTCCAGCCCCTTGCAGCTAAGCCTGGTATCAACCTGGCTTCCCTCAAAGAAGCGCTCCCGGCGGTTGAACTGGTCAAAGGCAAGCCGCTTGCGACGCCCAATCCGTTTGATCTCCTTGACGTCTACGAGGTTTCTGAGGCAGATGCCTCTAATTCTCTCGAGTCTACGCCTCAATCCGCCGCCAACAAGAACCAGATCAACATCGACTATGAAGCCGAAAAGACTGATACCCGCCTCACAAGCTTCCTCGCCTTCGCCGCGCTGTTCAGAGACCTGAACACTATGCGGACCCGTGCCAAGGAACTTTGGACGGCGTACGCCGCGGGCGAGCTATCCTTGTCTGCCGCTGCCGTGGCGACGAACACGGCCATTGATCTTGCGCGCCGAATGGAAGAGGACGCGGGTGACTTCGCCCCCGGCCAGAGCGTCGCCTTGTGGATCAATGTTTACTACATCTTGCTCTGCGGACTTAATGGCAAAGACCCCAATTACCGCAAACGGCCCGGCGATGAAATCAACTTCGACACTTTTGCTGAGCTTGACTACGCCATGAACAATGCGGCAGCGTACCTAAGGAACTACCGTGACGGCATGATGATTAACGTGGAAGAGGGCTTTTGTTCGTACAATGGAAAGTACGGCTGGTAAGCACAATCCTATCTCATGATGGTACCTGTTTCACATACTGACATCTTTAGGTACGATTGCAACGTCGACTTCAACACGGCGACCAACGAAGAGAAATGGCTGCAAGACAGAGCCGCCGTCTTAGAAATTGCGCCCGAGGTTGACCACATTGCGAGATACAATCGAGACCCATTCCCCGGTCGCCGCCACCTCCCGGTCGTAGACGAGCTCAGCCGCGGGCTCGATCGGCTGCTGGCCACAGGCACGATGCCCTTCTGGCTGGTGCTCGCAATGGCGATCCACCTTGACATCCGCCGGATCCTGGGCCCCAAGATCCAACAGCCCATGAACGAGCTGCTGGCCTTTGACGCCTACGTCGACGACACCATCCAGAAGAACCTGTGGTTCCACCACACCTCTCGCATCGTGGGCTGGGGGGTCAAGGATGACCAGTTCTTGCAGGCCATGCAGCTTGACGCAACCTTCTGGAAGGACGACCCCATCACCTCCCTCAAGCGCATGGCGGGAGAGCCTAACGCCAAGGAAAGGCTCTTCCTACAGCTGAACCCGCTCTACTGTGGGCTCTGGATTCACGACATGCGCGCCCGCTTCCATTGCACGGGTATCGGATTCAACGCTGTATGGGGCGGTATCCTGTACATGGGCCACTTGTACAACGCGTTCACCGTCGATCCGCTCACGTCTTCGCGCGTCGTCGGCAGAGAATGGCACGACATGGAGCTGATGTACCGATTGCAGGGTGGCAAGGACAAGTTCTTCAGCGGCCAACCGCCGACCGATCCGTCTGGATACTTCCGCCGGATCTGCATCTTCATGGGCTTCAGTGCGGGCAATTGGGCTCCGACCCGCCGGAATAGGGGAATCCTGGTCGCCTCCAAGGTTGGTCCGCGCTCGCTGCAGCGGCAGGGCAAGGTGTCGATGTTGTTCTACGGAACGTTTAGCCCTTGGAGCTCTCGCCTTAACCTAACCACCGAGGACGTCCAGAATATCCTCAAAGGAGGCAGAAAGAAGACGGCGCCTTCAACCAAGAGAGAGCTCGAGACGGCGTCTCCGTCGGAACTGGTGGACAGATTGGCAGTCGCCATCAACGCCGAGGTGCCGGAGATCACCGTCGACTACTTCCTGATGCACCGAATCTGTTGGACGCTGCTGCGGCAGTTGAGGGCCGTGCTGGATGAGGATATGTGCAACTGGATCGGCCGGGACTGGGTGGCTGGTGATTACCACCTGCCGTATGTCGTCGGATACATCTTCCGTGAGGGCGCCGGTGAGGCGGGCAGGGCACCGTCACAGCTGTTGCTGGTGAAGGCGATGAAGGAGTTCCTCCGTTGGGGCCGTGAATCGGAGAATGACGAGGACGAGGATGATTCGAAGAAGTCGGCGGGAAAGAAGAAGACGAAAGGCAAGGGCAAATGGAAGAAGGGAAAGGGAAAGAAGAGAAAGAAGTCGCCTAAGAAAGTTGTAGTGGAGAAGGAGGAGGAGGAGGAGGGAGACGAGCAAGGAGAGGATGGTGCTGAGGGAGAGGAGAATGAAGGAGGAGACGTTGGTGGCCACGAGCAGGCGGGCAAAGCGCCGGTTCAGCATGAGGACAGGGGCGAGAGAAGAGAGGTGTTGGATGCGCTGAAGCGCTTGGGTGTCTTAGTTGGATGAATGTCTTCCACGCGGCGCCGGAGCGGTTTGTATAAATGTGTTCATCTTTGCGACATTCGTCTCAGGCTAATCACTGGTTTGGAGCATACTAGGGAGGTCAGTCGGGGTGGCTGTGTGCGGAGATCTGTTACGGATCAAACGACTGTTGTTCTGTGTACGAGCGAGCTATGATTAAATAGTATGGCCAGGCTACTTTGACGAGCGATAAGTGCTGATCTCGAGTAGCTGGTGTCAGTTGCAGTCAAATTCAATTGCTAGGAGGAGAGAAAGGAAGTCACTGGTCAACTAGGAATCCCGTGTTCACTGAGGCAAAGGTCCCCGGTCTGCCATGTCGCGTCATACGTGACCGAGGTTCTCCACCGCCCCAAATAAAGAAAGTGTTGGCTAGGTAGATACCGCGAAGAATGGCGCCGCAGCTGACTGATCATTCACTAAAACAAAAGCACGACTCGGACACCCAGCCACGACCTCCAACCGACCACGGCAAGTCACAGTACAACCGACCACCAACCAAAAAGAACACATCCCTCCTCCTCCAACGCCCCGAGCGTCGAAAGAAAGCCAATGCCCACATCCAGAGTTGAACTGAAGACCTCGTCATGGCGTAAGATCGTGTCTGGGGGACCAGACAGGATACGGTACTAGTGACGCGCTCTACCACTGAGCTATGCGGGCGGTTGGAACAAGGCAGAAGCTTGAGAAAGGGACTCCGCTTATTGGTTCGTTGAGGTTTTTGGGACTCCTTTGTGGTATTTGTGTGCAGTGTGCAATGTAGTGGATGGATGGAGTAAGGCGTGGAGTTGTGGGGCTTCTGTGGGTTCGGGGCGGATTCAGGGGGTGTGAATTGACGGACGGACAGAGAGGTGTGGGTGGAGCCTTGGACTACCAGGTAACTTTGTGTTGATTTCGGTGTCAGGTCCATCATTGCTGTGGTCGTGATAGAATAGGAGAATAAACTGGTTTCCGTAACACAAGCTGTTTAGCTGTTGTCAAGGGGAACACGGAGAGAAGATTCGGTTTGAAACGGGCTGAAACATGAGGGGAGAAAGATGGCAGGGCAGTCCCGGGATCTCTTTGCGATGAGTTGAAGCAGAAACCGATTCTTGTATGTTGGTGAGGGTGGAATTCTGTTATTTATTATAAAGTCTTGGCATTGAGTGTTGCATGAAAACCGTAAATGGGCGTAGGTCTCGTCTCTATGAGGTAGCTGCTGTGACCATGTAGTTAGACGGTTTGAGCCTTTGACTAGAGGATCGTCAGTCAAGAATGAAGAAAGCCGAAAACATAGTAATTATAGGAGAAAGGGGCAAGTGATACCCAAGCGGGGACTTGGAGAATAAGCAAAAGAGCAATAATCGTTACTGGAAATCAGAACAAAATGACTAAAGCAGGGAAGACAGAAGCTGGAAGCACCGAAGAGGGATAAACAGAACGGGAAAATTTAGAGCAGGATGATCAGAGTAGGATGAAGAGAATAGCGGAATGATGAAGCAGGAATAAGTGAGATAACCCATACCATGGACCAAGATGACGTAGGACGAAATGAGTTGTAGTACAACCGCATAAGAAAGGTTATAGACGGGGCCAAAGTAGCAGAAGGTTATGGCTTCTCTCATACCTGAGTTTATCATGATACAGACCAAAGTATGGTCATGACATGGCTTACTAACTAAGGTTCAGAAATCTTGAACTGTGCTTGGAGCAAAGGTACCTACATAGGTAACCATCTACGAGGTAATTAGACTTAAATGCGTAGAAAAGAAGATTGTCTCCTTGTCACGGCACCACAAGGCATGAAGACCCGCCTTGCAGGCGAGTCAGTACCGACCCACTATAGCCCATTGTATATAGAGACCGAGGGGCAGAGACTTTAGCTCTCCCTTCTTCAAAGAACAACAAGTTCATTCACCCAGTCCTAGGTTGGCACCGTGACACTCCTAGACGATCTTCAACTCGGCATCGCCTGGACACTTTCAGCCATACGGGGAGGAATAAAATGATGCCACATTTCGAATTCAACTCAAAATACCGCTCATAAAATAGGATAGCTCGATATCCTCAACACACTAACACGTAAAATAAAAACAAAATGAATTCTCTGTCGTACCAAGCTAAACAGTTAAAATGCAATAATTAAACAATAGCCAAAACCAAACCAGTTCGTTCGTTTCTCATAGCCCCCCCTTGTAGCTGGCACCCATCCACCATCAGCCCAACTTAATCCCCCTAGGAGCTCTACTCCTGAATCGACCCCCACCGCAGCACGGCCTTGATGACCCGTCCCTTCTTGGTATCCTCAATAGCCTTTGCGAAGTCCTTGACGTCGTAGTACGTGATGAACTCCTCCATAGGAAACTGGCCCTTGGCATGCATCTCCATCAGGTACGGCAGGAACTGTTCACACCAAAGTCAGCCAACTTCCCTCTGCCCATCTCCAGAACCAAGACAACTTGAACTTACCACCGACGGATTACTATCCCCCTCCGTGCACCCGACATACTCCTTCCCGTACGTCAAATGGCTCATAACATCCACGCTCGCACACACCCCGAACCCAGGCGCGCCAACAGTCGAAGCGCGGCCCTTGACGCCCAGCGCATCAATCATCGTCCTGATCACCGCGGGTACACCAGAGCAGTCCACAGCGAAATCGACCCCCATGGGCGGGACAATCTTTCGAATCTGCTCGACGACATCCTTATCGCTGCCGATAACACCATGTGTCGCGCCCAGCCGCATGGCGAGGTCAAGTCTGCTCTGGTGGAGATCCACCGCGATGATGACCTTGGCTTTGCGCAGCTTCGCCGCCATGACGGCCGCCATGCCCACGCTGCCTACTCCAAAGACCGCCACGCTGCTCCCCTCCTTCACGTCAAGGGAGTTGAGCACCGCGCCCGCGCCAGTCTGCATCCCGCAGCCGAGTGGAGCGAATAAGTCCAAGTCGGTGGTGGGCTCGACGCGCACGCACGAGGAGCGGTGGACGAGCGCGTGGCGCGCAAAGGAGGACTGTCCGAAGAAGGAGCTGAAGATTGGTTCGCCGTTTTCCGAGGCACGCATCGCGCGCGGGCTGGTGCCCGAGGGCGGCGGGGTGGCGCGCTGGCCGCCAAAGTTGCGGTCGTTGAAGGTCCGGCAGTAGGCGGGGTGTGCGGATGTGCAGAGATCGCAGGTCTCGCAGGAAGAGAAGGAGAGGAGGACTTTGTCGCCTGGTGCGACGGAGGTTACGCCCGAGCCGATCTCGAGGACGATGCCTGCGCCTGAGGCGGGGGAAGAGGGTGTTAGAGATTTGTGGAGGGGAGAGGAAGGGGATAGGGGTGACGAACCTTCATGGCCGAGGACGGCGCCGGGCGCGCAGGGCAGGTGGCCAGCGGCGCAAGCAAGGTCGGTGTGGCAGACGCCGGTGGCGTGGATCTCGACGAGAACTTCGTCGGGCTGGATGGTGTCGAGGTAGACCTGCTTCAGCTCAAAGGAGCCGTTGAGCTCGGGCACGACGAGGGCGGTGGTTGCGCGGGACATGGTGGCGGGGTGGTTGGTGAGGTGAGGGATGGTGTGGTTGTGTCTGATTCAGGGGCAACAAGCAAACAATACGAGAATCAAATTAGGACGAAACTTGAATGGAGACGAGGACGGAAAACCTGACAGCAAGTAATTAACAACAACACCAAAAACACCAACAATCTAAAAAGGAATCAATCGTCTTTACTCACACTGAAGTCCACTGTCATGCCCCTCCAATTCCACTCCTCGTCACTTTCAAGTTCCCAGAAAAAAAAAGTAACCACACAAGCTATCCCTGTCCACCGTCCGCCCGCCCCGTCGGAGTGGTGGTGGGATGGGGGCAGCCAGATTTACTGGAAGCGGCCAGCGGTCACGCGCCGCCCGCCTAAAAAGACCCGGCCGGCCGAGATTCACGGGAACCAACTCAACCAGCAGCACCGAGTCAATGGCCCCCCCCCCCACAGTCCCGCACTGGACTCAATGCGACCCCACGGGGCCCAGACGCTTGTTCGTCTCGTCTTGGTCCCTGGTCGAGGGCCAATCCCGGTCCTCCCTTCTCTGCTTGCGACTGCGGCTGTGGACGAGTGGATTCTTTTCTGCCTTTTGAACGTTTAACGCTTTCGTTACCGAGCTTCTGGGTCCGCTGGGCTGGTGGAGACGATCCCGGCAGAGAGGCTCGGCGCCGCCCTTTTTACGCTCTCATTTATTTTTTGGTTCGTCGACTGGGAAGGGTCTAATTACGTCGCCGGTGCAATGCATCAATTCGCTGCACGTGGATTTTGAGAGTTGATCTTGCTGGAAACCAGGTCATTGAGCACACAGACGAGAAAGTGATAACGGGTGTTTTGTTGCAACCTGGAAGTGGCTGAGGAGGGCAGCGGGCCTGTGAACGCGTGGAAGCACTGGGAGCCAGGGGAAGAACTGCCCTGACTCGTGCGGCACCTTGGTACTGTAGCCTGTACCACAATTCCCACAGCGCGTCTCCGTTCTGCGCGCTCAGCCTTTTACACCTTGAATCTCAGTATCACAGCCTAAACATCACGAAACCATGCAAAATGTCAAAAAAGTGATTAATTCATCCAACGTGCGTGTAAAGGCTGTGCACACATCATAAAAAATCACCTCAAAAAACTCCATGCGCGTGCCCCAGCCCAAAACAGGAGTGAGAAGCCCATTGACCGCTTCCCAAAGTCCCGCAAGACAATATAAAAAAGGGCATCATAAACCACAACCGACAACACTAACTACTTATACAAAAACACCTCGCTATCCTGATCAAGCCTTGGTGCGTCCGCCCATAAGCGGGTTCTGCTTCCACTGCTTCGTCACGGGGTCAAGCAGCTCCGCCTCGGCCGTCGCCCACTCGTTCATGATAATCGCCTTCCGCGCCTCCGACCTGGGTGTGATCTTGGCAGGGAACTCCTCGGGCATGCACACGAAGCCCTGTGTGAGCTTCTCCTGGTCGGGGATGATAGGGTTGCCCTGAGCATCCCGCGCAGGCTCGATATTGAAACCCCAGAGAATGCGCGAGATACCGAGGAACAGAGAGCGCTCCGCAACGTGAATGCCGGGGCAGATGCGGCGGCCGGCACCAAAAGTGAACTGGTCGCGCTTGGTGCCGTCGGGGTTGGCGGCCGCGTCGGCCAGGGATTGGTGGTCGTCCATGTAGCGATCGGGGTTGAAGCGGCGGGGCTCGGGGTGGCGCTTGGGGTCCATGTGGATGCCCCAGACGTTATTGACGACGCCGGCGTTCTTGGGGATCAGCATGCCATTGTAGAAGTCGTCCTGGGTGACAGCGTGCGGGACGGCGCCGAGAATCGTGGTGGGCATCCAGCGGAGGGCCTCCTTCATGATGGCGCGGACGTACTGGAGGTCGTCTTCGTCCTCCATGTTGGGCAGGCGGTTGGCGCCGACGACGCGGTCGACTTCTTCCTGGGCCTTGCGCTGGACGTCGGGGTAGAGGAGCATGGCCTGGACAAAGGCATAGAGGGTGCTGGAGGTGGTGTCGGAGCCAGCCTCGAGCAGCGTGCCCGAGATGTAAGCAGCCTGGTCGTCGGAGAATCCCTCTGCCTTCTGTGCAGCGACAAGCTCTTCAGAGAAGCAGCGGGTGATGCTGCCGTCGAGGGTCTCCTGCTTGGCCTTGAGCCAGTGGCTGAGATAGAGCTCCTTCTCGAGGGCGT